GCAGTGGCAGTGAGGACGAGCTGAGTGTGCAAGGCTGCTGGAGCAGGAGGCCAGCACCCGGTGCTGCGTCCCCACCTCCTTGTCCCTGGCATCACAGAGGACCCATGAAGTCCCGTTATCCTAATGCCTTTGATCAGACCCTTGGCCAAAGAAGCTTCCATGAAGCTAGGCTTGTGGTTTTAATTTGATAGCAATTTCGTTCGTACTGTTGTATAATTATTTGCCACTGACATTACCAGACGCAGGCAGAGAGCCTTTAGCAGATTGTTTAATGGAAAGAATCAATTTTTCCCTCCATGTAATGAAGCCAAGTTGAGCTGTGCCCCCCGGCAAGCAAGGTGCAGCCAGCTCTCCTTGAGCCTTTTGCACGATGGCTCCTCGATGCCCAGGGACAGGCCCAGGCACCCCCACACTGTCCTGCTCTCTCTGTGCCTCTGCCCTCCAGGAGAAGCCCTGTGCCCCCCAAAAGCATGGGCAGGAAGTTGCCTCCAAGCCATTAGGCTCACTCAGGCCTCTGCGGTCACCTCCCCATTGGTTCAAATCCCGAAGCCCTTCCAGGCACGGGCAGCAGGTGCTTGTCCGGAGGAGAGCCGTGTGGTTAGGAGTTCAGGTCCTGGGACACAGTGTCCGGGCTGGAGTCCTAGCCACCTGACGTAGCAGCTGTGTGACTTTGGACAGATGGTGTAACTTCCCCAAGTCGCAGTTTTCTTATCTTTAAAACAGGGCTAGTTTATCCCTGTCATAATAATAATAATTTCACAGTAGTCTCCCTGCATCTCTGAGAATAAATGAGGCTCTACATCCACAGTGCTTAGTATAGACCTGAAATAGAGTGGACACTCAACAAAAAACTGGTTCCATCCCTGGTGTCAGCCCCCCACGCTGGCTGCAGAAGTGCAAGATGCTCCTGTCTTCAGCCTGCCAAGGCCACCTGGCTCTCCATGGTGGCTTCTGGAATACAGCCAACCACACAAGCAATCACCTGGTACCATCTGATAGGGCGACGTCCCACAGTGACCAAATTCTCCAAGGAACTTTGCAGGGGGATCGGAGGGCCGGGGGCTGTGCCTGCTGGCACCCAGGGCCCAGGATAGCTATTCAAACCTGCTGCCCCCACAGTGACTCAGGTCAACTGGGCGAACTGTAAGTCTCCCTCCCACTGTCCCGGGGTGACTGAGCTCCCTGGAATCAATGGCCCCTTGGAGGCAGACAGCTGAGGGCTGTGCACATCCAAGCCGTGGGACTCTGCATATGAGGACGTCCCTCAGGGCCTGGTGCACCCTTGTGGGCAGCTGTTGGCCTCAGAATGCACAGGGCTTGCCCAGGGGCTCCGTAAGTGCTCAGGAGTGGAGTCGCCATCCCAGGCCTGTGCCTACATCCGCCACCCCCACCACTGGTGGGAGCGTCTCGGAGAACAGGAGCGAATCTGCTGTGGAGAAGCTCAATGACCTTGAACAGGTCACCAAGCCTGCTGTCCCCACCAGGAAGACAAGCAGGTTGTCTTGGGGGACTCAGTCCTCATGTGCAGGGCACTGTGTAGAAATCAGAAAAGAGCACCTGCCCTCTACCTTCAGTGTGTTACAGACTTCTTTGGGGAGGTTTGGAGACAAGAAGTGATTATGGAAACGTGACATTTTGGAGGCTCTCCTATGAGACCAGGGTATTTGGGTGAAGGTCGGGAAATAGTCACTAAAATAAATAAATCACCAAGCTGTTTTTCAAGCCAAGCAGTGCGCTACTTAGGTGGGGGCAGGGCCAGGGGAGGTGAGCCGCCTCTTGTGCGTAACGCCTAGAGATGGGGCCACATAACTGTGCCCTCCGAGGGGACTGTGCGACCACCGCTGCCTTGCAGGACTGCAGCATCAATGGCCCACCATCCAGAACCCCGCAGCACGGGCTCTCTCAGACCAGTTCTGGACACAGACCCGCCTCCCGGCCCAGCAGGCACAGTGGGATACCGAGAGCAGTGGGTTTGAGTAGTGGCTCTGGGCCTTAGTGGCCGTGTGCTCTGGGAAGGTTGCATAACCTCTCTGTGCCTGGCAGCGACAGTTCTTCCCCTGCCGCCAGGAGGTGGAGAGGAGGCGGGAGGCTCCGGCACTAGTCCAGCTAGCAGGCCCCAGGCTCCTCTCCCCACTGGTCATGCAGGGGAGGAGCAGTGCAGGGCCTCTGTGCCCCATGGGTGTGTCCCGTGAGCTCAGCCCCAGGTGCTGCCCAGGACCCACTAAGAACCTGGGCAGCAGAAGCCTGGAGGACGGGATTCTCTCTCCAGATCCAGGAGCACACCTCAAGGTGAGCCGGGGAACAGATGCGGACTGCGCCCCGTGATCCAGGGCCAGGGCACACACGAGCACGCAGCGGAGAGCTGGGCAGGCTGCCTGACTGCCCCGGCTGTGTCTCGGGATGAGCCAGCCTGGAGCAGCTCGCCTGTGTGCCCAGCTGTGGGCTCGGCTGGCTGGGAGTGGTGGGCGGGCGTGCAGCCCGATGTCATGCTGGGGGCCGCAGGGTGACCAACTGGCTCCGAGGCTGGTCTTGCTGGCAGGATGCCTTCACAGGGGTGCCCCGGGCGTTGCTCCCAGCTCCACGAGGCCCCCAGTCATTCTGTGGGCCCAGAGCCCAGCCTAGCCTCTCCCTCTCTGCAGGCCAGCGCCAGGCCCTGCCCCTTCTATGCTGGTGGCCTGTGGCAAAGTGCGCAGCCCTGCTGAGTGGCAGCTTGTTGTCTGCAAAACGGGCATAGCAGCTTCACCCCCACGTGGGGTGGAGGTGGGGCCCAGAAGTGACAGGTGTGAAGCATGGGAGGGTGTCCATGGTGGCCCTCAGCCGGTTTCTGCTCAGCCTCGCCTCTGTCCCGCATCCTGGGAGTGGTGGTACCCAGCAAAGTGCCAGGCCTGGAGTCCTGGAAGCGAAGTGGCGCTGCCCAGTGCTGGGGTCCAGAGGTATGAGACCAGGCACGGGCAGGTCAGGTGAGGGCCCGCTCCAGGTGCAGGCTTCTGGCTGTGCCCCAGGTCAGGGAGCAGCCCTGTGCCAGAACCGTTCTGGATGAGGGCACCAGTCCCACCCAGAAGCCTCGCCCCTTAGACCCATCACCCCCCAACGCCAACACCATGGGGTGAAGCCCTGTAGGTTCACATTCTTACACACTCACTGAAATGCGGTGGATGAAGCAGGCGATGGCCCGTGTAAGAAACCCCTCCATCCCGGCCCCTTGGGATACCCCACGACGCAGCCCCGTCCACGACTCTGAATTAGCAGCATCGCTAATCCAGCCCCCAGGTGGAATCTGGCCCACTGCCCTTTCTTGTGTGGCCCACAAGATAAGAATGGTTTCTGCATTTTTAAATAGCTGAGAAAACACAATTGCTGACCTTATGCACCTGAAATTAGTGAGATTCCAACTACAGCATCCCTGGCAGTTTTGCTGGCACCAGCCTCGCGGGTACCTCACCTAATTATGGCTGCTTGTGCTTGATGGGGCAGAGTGCGGCGGCTGCCTCTGATACCACATGGCCCACAAAGCTTGAAATATGTACCATGCAACCCGTATTCAAAGAGTGTGCTGACCTCTGCGTTAGAGGTTCTGAGAGATCTGGCTTGACTGTCTTAAACAGTGTGTCACAGACGCACCTGGCATGTCTTTATTCCAAGTAGCCGCATTCCCACTGTGAGCGGTCAGTGACAGTGTTTGCTGGGTTCTCCTGGCCTTCGCTTCTGTCTCCCACACCCTGGCCAGAGGCTCTGCCTTCTAAAGCCCTTCCTGGCCAGCTTCTTTTCCCGGTCCTTCCAAAACGCCAGTCTTCAGTGCCCCATCCATTCCGTGTTGCCTTCCTAAGGAGGGCTGCATAAACTTTAGTTCTCATAAAACTTGGGTCTGCTGTCCGCCTCCCCAGGGCGGACCAAATTCCCTTTCTGTAGCCTGTCTTGTTCGTCTGGCAGACCCAGATGGGGACGTGGCTTAGATGCTACACTAACCTGATCCGAGGAACCACACTACCTGGTAAACTGAACAGTCCATTCAGCTCATGGCTGGTCACCTGCCAACACCCCGTCCCACCAGATAATAAGCTCTCAGCAGTTCCTAATCACGGGGACAAGTGAAACGTCTCTCCACGAAGGCTCCCCTCTGCAAGTCCCGAGAACTTTCCAGACATCTGTTAGGGGAACAGGAATTTAGAAGCTAATTTATTTCACTGATTCACTGAAAAGAGCTCTTTAAAATGCATCTATTTATTGGAGACACTTTGTACAAGATATAAAAATCAGAAGCAAATGTCACATTTAAGTGAAAATAAATCTGGTGAATAAAAGCTCCAGCAGCCGCTAACAAGGGGCATCGTTTTCTTTTCAGCAACAGTATGCCCCTAAACCAAGGCACCCGGACAACCCTGCACGGGGGGTCGGCCCAAGAAGAGCCTGGCTTCTTCGCCTTGCGGTGCAGGCCCCATGGGGACCCTGCTGGGGACACAAGCTCTGCGGGTGAAACGTGCTGGACGATGGCCAAGACCAGTTGCTGCGCCTGGAACCCGTCAGCAAGGCCTTGGGAGGGGAGTCACGGTACCCGCTCCAGAAAAGGAAACTGAGGCAATGCCGGCCAACAGCGCCTCAAGATGGGGCTGATGGCCCCCAGGTGTGGCCTGGCCCATGCTCGGGCAGGAGGAGCCCTGCAGGTATGGCGTTTGAGAAGGCTTCTCACCAAGAGAAGCTCCTCCAGCTCTGGGGGAAGGAGCGGGTCTGGGCAGGGAGGCGGCTGGAAAGGTGTTCCTGTTGTCGGCGGGCAGATTCCCAAGGCACTGGCGCTCTGGGCGGGCCTGCCTGCCCCCGGCCCCCGTCCTGCCTCCTGCGGCTCCCTAAGGTTTTAGCCCAGCCCTCTCCAGTCACTGATGTCACCTGCCCGCCTCTGTAGACTGACATCCCGGGCAGGGGCCACTTAACAGAAGCAGAACGTTCGGTCTGTTACGCAGGGAGGCCACCGCCCTGGACCTGTGCAAGCTTCGATCTGCGCCGACATGAGCTGCAGCTTCCGCCCGCCGATCCCCGGACTCTGTCCGGCCGCCTCCTCTTCCCTGGGAAGGAGGCTGCGCGAGGCGCGTTGGCCCAGGTCCCTCGACCTGCCACCCAGAGTAGACGCTGGTCAGCAGAGCCAGCAGGGCCTGGCTTTGGGAGCCTCTGTGGCCTGATGCTCGGGGCTGCTGTAAGCTGTCCCAGCTTGGTAACTGCACAGATTTCTGCAAGGTGTGGTGAAATGTCCACGTCAGGCAGTCTGCTCCAGTGGGCACCACGACACTTTACCACCCAGGGAACCCCCTTTGCCCACTGCCAACAACTTTTGTCTTTCCTTTGCTGCAAAATCCCAGATGCAAAACCATGTCCTTCCTTGGCCCCCATGGGTAAATAACGCCTCCACCTGACAGCCAGTGGAGGAGGGAGAGAGCAAACTGAGCTTAGGTGACCAGTCACTAGGGGGTGGCCGAGGTGAGTCCCCGTGCCTCCCCATGAAAATGGGGCAGTGACACCCATCCCTCAGGCTGACGGCTTAGAAAGAGCAACACACGTGGAGGAGGGTCGTGCACGTGGCAAGAGCGGTGTTGTCAGCTCCCGGGGGTCCGCAGTGGTGTGGCAGGAGTTCAGTGCTCTGGGTCATCGGCAGAGTGAGAACTGGGTCCCTGCTGGAGCCCACCGCGTGCGTGGGGCTCAGCCGTCCCTGTCCACTGTCCCTCCTCCAGACCTCGCATCTATGCAGGGACCACCACTCCGTGTCCGGCTGAATTTCACATGCCAGTCACCAAGGGTGTGGGGAGTGGGAAGATCAATCCACCCCTTATTATTAATTACCTCCTTTGTTTGGAGTCCTTGAAAGCTGTGGCTTGTTTTCTGCTGAGCGTAAAGCAACGCTAATGCTTTCCTTCTTCTGAGCCCAACAAGCGAGAGCCAGATGAGCAGATGAGGCCTGAGAATTTATGTGCAAAGCACCGTGTTCAGGGCCGTGGGGGATGCACTGGTGAAAGACGGCTCGAGATTAATAGATGCTAAGCCCGGCTGTTTATCTTTCTTGATAAACTGAACCATAAGGAGAAGCAGCCTGGCACAGGGCTGACTGTGGGAGGCTGGGCTGGTAGCTGTCTACTCCTCAGGTGAGACAAGGGTGGGCAGAGCCAGACCCTGTTCTCCCAGGAGGACACGCAGCCTATTAAGGGAAAAGTAGAGGACCAGCCTTGCTGAAGGTCAGGTAGGCTCTCTCTCGGGTCTCTGCACAAGGGCTCCCAACACAGAGGGATGCAGATGGACCGGTCAGCAAGGACTGGTGTGCAGAGTTCTGGCCATAAGAGAGCATCTGCCGCACACACTGCCCGCTGCGATTATGGGGCAGGGACACAGTGTCTGGGGATCACGATTCTGGGGTTTCCTAGTGATGCTGACGTTGCTAGTCCGGAAGCCCTGGGGGCTGGATCCCCCCACAGAGAGGGGCAAGTTCGGCTCCGATATTGTTGGGCACCTACACCTGCCTCACCTGTATTCCAACAGCCTCCACAGAGCGGGGGGAGCCTCGGGGTCGACAGTAGGGACCAGAGCTGGCCCTTGGTTTTGAATCTCACCCCATATTCCATTTATTGGCAAATTATTTAACCTCTCTGTGCCTCAGTTTCCTCAAACGGGTGGTGGTCAGAGCAGCCTCACAGAGCCATTGTGGGGACAGGGGGTGGGGGCCGAGGGGGCACTGAGGACAGTGTGGCTCAGGGACGATTGCTGACAGCTGCCATTGCTCTCTGCAGTCTGGGGGAGTCAGGCTGCGTGCACGAGACTCTCCAAGGCCCTGACCCCTAACCCCAACCAGCCTCAGGTCTGCTGTCTCAAGACTATAGTTAACACTGTTCCTGGAGAGAATATTCTGGTTATTTGTTCAAAAACAACTGTCGGTGCTTTTGCTCATGAATCTGAAGGCTGGGCTCAGCTGGGTGGTTCTTGCCTGGAGTTCTGCCGCGGGGCTGGGTCCCCTGGACGCCTGCTTCAGTCCATGCCTGGTGTCCAGGCTGGAAGTCACACCACAAGGTGGGAGCAGCCGGGAAATCCCGCACGTGGCTCTCTCCGGTGGGCTGTCCACGTGCTGGCTGACAACTTGCCTGGTGGCTCTGGGTCACAGAGGGAGTGTCCCAGGAAGACCAGCATCGGTGTGTGGCCTCTTCTGCCCCAGCCTGGCAAGCCATGAACAGTCCCTCATTTTACTCTTTGGAGCAGCCACAGCCGCCCACCGGCTACAAGGCGTGGGCCGTGGACCACCCCGTGATGGGGTGAGTGCCTGAACCCGTGGGCTCGCCTGACAGCCGCCCGGAGCTCTGTTTATTGTGCCCCAGGTCCTCTGCCACTGCACTGTCCAGCCGGAGGTGCCTGGTGCCTGGCTCAGCCGCTCAAATCCTGCCTCCCGCCCGAAGCCCCCATCAAAGTCAGTCCCCCAGGACATTTCCTCACCCCCTCACTGAGCCCCATGGCTTCCTGGGGTCATGACCACCATTTACCACGTGTCGTTCTCACACATTCTAACGATGTGAACAAGCAAACAGACAATATCACCAAAATGGCACGTATGGGGGAGAAGCCAGAGGCGCCATAAAGACGGTGGTTACCTGCCGGGAGCCACCAGATGCTGCTGCTTTTGTGTTTTTTGCTTTTTCCGAGAACGTCTACAAAGTACATGTATAATTTGAATAATCAGGAAAATATCTTTTCAGAAAAAGTGCATTTAGAAATAAATGGTGAACCTTTTCTGTCCTGGATCCCAAGGACTTGGCTGTTAAGCTATTAAAATCTTTGTTGTCTGTAATTCCAAAGTTCTCTCCACACAAAGTGGAAAAAATACCCTAAGCAGATGGAAAGACTTCCTGATGTATAGGCAGAAACTGGAGCTGTTGGACCTTCCGGGACTTTCCGGTGCTGGTGCGATGGCGACCGAGGCTTTGCGGCCCGGACAGTGAAGCTGTGGCTGCAGGCTGTCTTCACAGCCAGGCTGAGCGTGACTTCTGTGGGAACCGGAAATCGTGAAGCGCCCTGTGTGAAGCCTGCGGCGGGGGCCAGTGCGTGTCTAGGTCTAGCAGGACAAAGAGGACATTCGTGCTTCCGCCTAGATGGAACAAGCCTGGACGTGGAGCAACGCATCATTTACAGCAAGTGCGCACCCACCTGTGCTGCCACAGACCTCAGCCTCTGGCGGTCACCGTGCGGTGCCAGCCCCGTGCTGGACACTCTGGTTCAGGGGCTCTGGCCGGGCCCTGTGAGGGCACCTCACCATGAGCCTCGTGGGCAATTCTGCACTCCTATAGTGAGGGGTACGTTCTTCCGGTCAGATTCAGATCCCACGCACGTGGCTCCAGACCTGCTGGGTGACAAGCAGGTGCTTGCTGGTTTCCCACATTCCCTGTAGACTCCTCCGGACCTTAGAAGTCAGGGTTCAAATCTCCACTTCCCAGCGAGGAATCGGTGGCTCGGAGCAGGGGGTGACCTGTCAGTGGTCACACAGCTGGCAGTGGTTGAGTCGTGATTTGGAGCCAGGTCAGGGGAATCTGACGGCCACAGGCCCTCACGCTCACGCTGGAAGACTATCTCCAAGGTTCCGTAAGTTGTGAGGCCAGCTGCCCGGTCACTCTCCTTACCACCCTGGCCCCCTCCTGGCCACATGCCACCTATAGGAAGCCTTTTCCTTAAACTGTCCCTCATCTCCCACCGCCTCTATTTCTACGATGCCTCTAAGAGGGGTACCTTCTATCTTGTGAGCATTCGAAAGGCTCTGTCCTTGGCGTCCCAGGTGGGGAGCACCTGCTCTGAACAGGGGTGAGGTGGTAAGAGGGGAAATCGGTTCCAGATGGTGGTCAGACCCTTGAAATCATGCAAATCCATCCTCCCCACAGTAGCATAGCTATTTTATCCAAGGAGTATATTCTCAGAAATGAGAGAAAATGCTGACTAAGAGGCAGATTTTAGGAGAGTTAGATTTCACTGGGCATGTGTATCGATCAACAATAATGTCCTCTCTCGCTTGGAGTGGTGGCCCCTGGGGAGAGGGACGGTTTTCAAAGCTCCGTCTGCCGGACGAGCGACACAATGTTTCTCTCTTCCAGGACAGCCTGGCGGGTCGCAGCAGAGTGAGCACTCCCGTCGTGGTGAGTTTGGGGCATGCTCGCTTACAGGAGAGGCGCGGGAAGAGGTGAAGGGCAGCACCTGGCCCCTGTGGCTTAGAACTCGGCGTCCCACGGTCTGCAGTGCCCAGCTAGAGGTTTGGGAGCCATCCAGGCGGCGGCTGCGAAGGGCTCTGGGGCCCGGCTCAGGCTCTGCAGGAACGGAGGCCATGACTGATTGGCGGTGTCTGCTCTGGGCAAGGGAGGGAGGGGGCCTTCTGGAGCACAGGGAGCGCCGTGGGGCCAGGAGAGGCCAATGTGGGGCTGGACACAGCGATGAAGGCCATAAAGGCCGGGCCCTTGCTGCCTATCTGACACCAACAGGGTGGCAAGTCATGGTGGCTGCCACCTCTGGTTGGCTCACAGTGGCCGCCTGAGCAAGAAAATTCAGACCCATGGGAAGAAGACCGTGCTTCAGCCCCTGAGGTCTGCCCCAGGCCCGATCACAGGAGCAGGCGGCCTGGCTCCCCGTCTCCTGAGCCTGCCGGGTGCCCAGGGTTCCCTCCTAGCACAGCAGCCCAAGGACAGGGGGTGAAATGTTCTGGAGGCCCGTGGGGGCCAAGGCCCCCGGAGGCAGATCTTTGTAGAGGAAGGCTACAGATGGCCCAGGGCCCGGCCTCCCTACCTTGGCGTGCAGGCCACTGAGGGCCCGGGAGGGGCCCAGGACACCAGGGCACTTTGTCCCAGATTGGGGGTGGGGGTGGGCTGCCGTGTTATGTTGAAGATGCATTAGGGAGGAGAATGACAATTTTTTTATTAAGAAATTAAAAGAAATCCATAAAAACAGAGTGTAACCTGCACACTGAATAGGAAGGGGATGCCTCGGGACCATTTCCTGAGAACGCAGAGTCACATCTGCTCTCCTGTCATGAGTGGATCCCAGCGGGAAGGTCGGAGAAGCTCCGACCCGAGTGGGAACGTGCCATTTCTTTTCATTCCTGTCTCCTCTTCCCTCGCCGTCTGAAAGGGGAAAACTGGAAGGCCCAGGTAGCCATGTGGCCCTCAAAAGCGGGCCAGGAAGGCACCTGCCTGTTTGAGACTTGCCCTTGAGCGTGGGTGAAAGCGGTCCTGGGCTGGCTGGGCAGGGGCCAAGGGGCCGGAGGCCAAAGCTGTGGCATGTGTGGGTAGCCCACGTGGGAAGCCCTGCTGTGCCACAGGGCCTCCTAGAAGCTGTGGCTCAAGGGTAAGTGGCGGGCTGGGGATCTGGGATTAGGGCTCCAGCTGGAAGGGTTTGAAGCATCACTGTCCCTGGGGGTGCAGAGGGGCAGCTACGGGAATGTCCAGCCGTTGGGCACGAGGTCAGAACACACTATGGTAACTGACTGAGCACCGACGTCCATGTGCATAGGGGGGCAGATGAACACAGGAGAAGGTTCACAGAGTTCACTTGTAAGACACCCACTATGTGCCGGGCTCTTTCATGTACACTGTCAGCTCTGATTCCCACAGCAGCCCAGCAGAAAAGGCAATAGTTTCTCGAGTTTACAAATGGGGACACTGAGTCTCAGAACGAGTTGGGAGCTTCCATGCAGTAACCGATTGTGGTTAAACATACAGAGACTAAACATACAGGGGCCACTCCTAGGCCCAAACCGGCACCATCTCGTTCAGTTTCATCCCCACACAGCGGAACTGGGATGTTTTCTTTGGAGCAACCTCGTGTGGTAGTACAGTAAAGAGAAGGGCGTAGGTTGCTAAGTCACATGATCCGGCTGGGACTACCAGCCCTCCTACCTGAGTTCACCCTGGGTGGCTGAGGGTGCTTCTTTGCTCAGACCTTTCCTCATCAGGAAAATGGGGATAAAAATAGTTTCTCTGGAAATTAGATGACAACATATATGAAAAATGCTTAGCTTGTATATTAATGATACTTGAATCAAAAAAATGCTCAGCGTATAGTAAGTGCTCAGCGAATGGAGCTGACGCTGAAGCACTGGCTCTCCTGGGGTTTCAGAAATGAGGGAGCTGGAGCTGGGAAAGGCAGCCTGCTTAAGGCCAGCTGGCCGGGGCAGCGCCAGGACTAAACGCTGATCCGTGGGCTGTGAAAGTCAGGGTTCTCTCCCCCGTGTACACAAGGTGACTGACTTCACAGGGCTTAGCCTGAGGGGTCCAGAAACGCGTACATTCCCACGTGCCGGCTCTTTGACCGTAGGAAGTGCATAATGCACTTTAGGAATATTTTCTTAAAAACAAAATATTTTAAAATGTCACACTTAATATTGTAATGTGAACTACAATTATCTAAAAAGCTCACAGACATGCACCGGTTCCAGAGCCTTCAATGCCAAAATTCGGAGCCATTATGTATAGTCGTCCTCCACTTGAGAACTTATTAGAAGCATTAACCTGAGTCTTGGAACCTTGTCAGTGTTATAAACACTGTTCTTTCTGTTGTGGCTGGCAGGATAATTAAAGGACATTTTCCTTGAGGCCATTTTATTTTCCACTCAAATCATGGAAATAGCATTGAATTTGAACGATGCTACACACAGATCAGCTTAGGACTCAGATTTCAAGCATGTCCCGGTAGTGTAAATATTTGTTGGAGGAAGATTAACCAGCAGGCAGTATATTCAGAATGGCTGCCTCTTTCATTAACTCAGTAAGAAAATAAGCCAGAAAGATGCGGAGCTCTCTAAATCACAATTTACAAAACATCTAGTTGAACTATTTTTTTTCCAGACTAATTAAGATTCGTACTATATTTTTAAAAAACCCTTTATTCCACAATAACCTTGTTTTTTTAAAAAATTCACATCTTATCTAATGACCAGAAATTTGCTAGAATTTTCCAAACTTATTTGAGTTCAGAGATAGATCAGACTTCACCCATTCATTAGTTGCATGTTGTTCAAGAATATTAAATACAACTGGAAAAAGTGATTGGGAAATGAATCATTTAGAACAAGCATATATTAATGCAAAGATTATAAAATAAATGAACAGCTTACCCACAAATTCTCTCTGGATCAGGGGGAGGGAGGTCACTGGTTTGAGGACAATTTTCCAAAGGTAAGTTTTGCCTGCACAGTTTCCCCTTCACTGTGTCCACAAAGCTGGTGGTAGGCTGAGCCATCCTCGAAATGCAGCCCTAATCCAAATCCAGTGTGCACACCACGCCTCTGGCATTGCATGTTGGGCTTCATGGTGTCCCAACCTGCCTGTAGGTTTTCAAGGACCACAGCTCAGCCTATGACAGTTCCTCTCCAGAGGTGGCTTAAGGAGGGAGGGATGAGTCTGGGACTTGAATTAGGCGACCCCTAATCACCGAATACATATTTTTTGTATAAGAGTAAGATGGGTCACTGTGTCCCCCAGATACTCTGATCCTCCGGTTGGAATCCGGAGACGCTCCGGCAACCCGCTGAGGCAGAACCAACCAGAACAGAGCCTCTGCCAGGGAGACGCTGCCTGGGACCTCACTTATGGGTCCACAGCCCCCTGTGCCCTGACAGAGCATGCAGGGAGGGGCATCGCTGGGCCTTCCTGACAGTCTTTCCTTTCCAGAACTTTCCCTGTGGGCAACAGACACTCTTACGAGCACTCAGTTCCCTGACACATTCCCCACAACGTCACCGGGTCCACCGTCCGCCCGCATCGCCACCAGGTCCATCTCCGCGTCCGCACTGACCGGGAAATGCCTGAAGGTCAGTATCAGGCTTTTCGCTGCAGATGAGGACAAAACCCCGAGGAGACGTGGCGTTTTGAAAAGGCCGCCGCCAACAGAACTTTCCCCAGAAGTTACATCCATTGTGACCTTCGTCAGCTACCCTGAGAAGATCTGTTCAGGGTCATGTCAGCTGCCGTAAGGGACGCATTTCAGGCACTGGGCTCGACCGCAGGAATCTCTCACTTTGAGTCACGCTCCTCAAACCCCTGGATGGCAGAGGGGCCGGGGCGGCGCGGGGCAGGGACATGCCGGACCCGCCAGCGCGTTCCTGCGGGTCTTAGGGGCGACCCCGCAGCCGCCCGGGGCTGCAGCGGCGCCGGCCCTCGACCCCCGCCCACCGAGGCGCGCCCCGGGCGCAGCGCCGCCAGCCGGGGTCCCGGCCCGATGGCCAGGCGGGCGCGCTCGCGGCGGGTCCGGCCGATCTCGGCGGGCAGACCCTCCCCGCGGCCGGCCCCGCCGCGCCCACCCGGCTGCGCCCCGGCCCCTAGCGGCGCGGCCGGCCCCGGGGCCCCGCAGTGCCTACCTGGCGAGGCTCGTCCCGTGCGCTCGGGGCCCTGGCCCGGCCGCCGCGCTCGCTGGCCGCGTCCCGGCGCCGGGGGCGCGGAGCTGGGGGTGCAGGGGGCGCGCGGAGCCCGGGGCCTCGCGGGGCGGGGCGCGGGGCGGGGGCCGCTCCGGCTGCGGCCGAGTCAGCGCCCCGGAGGCGCGCGGGAGCCGGGCCGGGGCGCGGGGCGCGGGGCGCAGCGGCGGCTGGACGCCCGCAGGCGGAAGCGCCGCGGAAACTTCAGCCCCCGGCCGCGGGCCTGCAGGCGCGCGCCCGACGGGCTGTCGGACCTCTTCCAGCAGCCGCGCCTGCGGACCCTCCTTCCCGGAGCCCTGCGGCCGCGCCCGCCCGCGGGAGGCTTCGCGGGGCCAGCGCTGCCCCTGAAGTTGGCGGCCGCGGGCGGCTGGCCTGGGAAGGCTGCTGACCGCGATTAGACAGACACGGAAGAAAGGTGCCAAAACACCAGAGTTGCGCCTTTGCAAAACCAAAACAAACAAACAATTTTTGGGGTCTTTTTTAAAATCGTAAAGCAAGAGAAAAAGCAACGACTATTTGCAGCCGACGTGATGGTCTAGTTGAAAAATCCAAACGGAAGCTTGAGTGAAACTTCAGCCCTTTCTAATGCACAGGTTACAGTAAAGACGCCAAATTCAGGGTCAGACACGTAAACGGAAAATGCCATCCTCGCTCACAGCAAAACCACACGTACAGAAATATCAGCTTATCAGGGAATATGTTTTACTTTACACAAAACTTCTAGTCTCTCCTGGGGAACTAAAGAAAACTTGAATGCATTAAGAAACATCCTTCTTGGACAAGGAGAGGTGAACGCTGTAAGCTTATCACATCCTCTGTATCTGTGAATTCCATATGATCTCCGTCAGATTCCAAGCAGAATTTTCTTTTAACTTGACACAATGATTCCAGGTCTCCTGTGGGAGAACAGAGTGAGAACAAACAATAAAATGTTGACAAAATGTCGGGAACCTCGCCCTGCTGCATTGAAATGAAAGGACACAGCAGAAATGAGTAAAATGCGACATAGAGGGCTGGTGCTCTGAGGACACGCTTTACGGGTGCTCTTGCATTTTGTGGCCTCAGAGCCCACACTCATATTGCTGTCACTTTCAGATAAGGACATGCAGGCCCCGTATGATACTTATCACAGTCAAAGTCACAGGCTAGAAGTGGGGGACCAGGGATTTGATCAGGCATTCTGTCTCCAGAGGGTATGCATCTGTGCTTAAAGCTGCTGCCAAACAACATTGCCCTTTTCACAAAGCAACAGTGATTAAAACAGCATGTTACCAGTTCAGTTCAATGACTGTTCAATGGAGTAGGACAGAGAGCCCCAAATTAGAAGTACGTGAGAAATTGTGTTGTTTAAGGGGACACTTGAATTTGATAGAAGAGATGGATTTTTCCAGAAATGATGTCGGAATAACTGGACAGTAACTGGTGGGAGCT